CAAGCACCTGTTGAGATGTGAAAAAAAGAAAAACAAAGAGTAAATATTGAGTACAGCTGGAATGAATTACCAGATGTATGTGCTGTCTCTCTTCCTTGTGCGTTCAACCTTAATTTCCCATTCAAATTTTACGTTGATGTCTAATTAGGAATAGCTCTTTCTGTCTCCTCATTATCAGTGTTTGACCTTTTGCTTTGGCTGTTTGAGGAGCCGAGCAGCAGTCGACGGGCGGCCGGTGATAATAGCTCGTCATTTAGCTCAACACATGCTGATTAAATAAGATAGGCCCATGCCTTTCAGCGGCTTGTTGTTCCCAAAGGGCCGTCAGTTTGAAAACACCTTAATGTAAAGATACTTGGGCGACAATATGGTTTCCACTAGCAGAGTGAGAACAAGACGACAAAACAAGATCAAACAGTTCCTGTGCTTATACTGGGACTTTTCCCCCCTTTCAAATTTTTTTTTCCAGCCTCTTTTATGCAAAGTCTCATTGGCATGAATTAATAATAACACTTCAAACAGATGCAAATTCATTGTACTGTGTCCTCTCCTGCTCTGACAAATGCTGAGGTATGTAGGCAGGCTCCATCCGATTCTGTTGCTGTGATTAATCCTCTTGGGAGCGGGCTGCCTATGCCAAAACTCAACTCTTTTGGCCTTTTGCACCCTCAAGTTTTATGGAGTATGTATTTACATAATGTATATTGATCCCTGAGACAGTGCAAGACAAGTTATTGGCTAAGTATTCTCGCATTTCTGTACATGAATATTATTTAAGTTGATCTTAATTTGGCTTGTGAAAAAACAAGCTGCACTGAAATATACGTGAGACGGAGAGAGACATGCGCGACAGGCACACGAATGTTGGCAGGAAAGTAGGTTCGGTATGTCTTTCATAAGCTGTATCTGTGTGTGGGATGCTGTGGCATGCATAAAATATTATTTTCTCAACAACTCGAGGTTGTGGAGGAGTTAGTTCAGGAAGGGGTGGGAGAGAAGGCCAGGGGATATACAATATTTGGGCAGCTGACAGCTGCGTGCGTGTACGTGTGTGTGGGAGTCTTAGAAACGGGAGTGGGAGTCGCTGGCGTTTGAAATGCAATGAGGTGCGTTTGAAAGGCGCTCCTGTCACAGGTATGCAGGGTAGCGAGAGCAAGAAGTGTGCACTGATAAAAGGAGGAGAGGAGAAGTGCCCGTGCTTTAGGGTGGCATACGCTATCTAAGGGCTTTTTTGCACAGACTGAGGAAAGCACTCAACACCACACACACTTAAATACAAAAAGCCCCCTGAAACATACACATACACTTTGATCCGTATGGGAACAAGCCTTAGATTTTAGGGGTCCAAAGCAGAAAGCTCTTTTTAGCCCTGGTTTTTGGACCAAAGGGTGTGTTTGGGTGTGTGATGGGGCTTTGTTTAAACCCAGAACAAAGACTTGATTCCATTGTTGAAGGTGATTGAGGGATGCTCTTGATGTTCCTTTTGCTTTCATGCATACTGTAAGGATAAAGATATGCCTTATAGATCAATAATTCCTGCATCACGTGTTTGGTGCAGTGATGTCCTCCCCTGTATCGCTCTGTGTCCTCTGTAGTGCAATCTCCAGCTGCTCTTCACTAGCTATTGAATGTCACTGTACTGCTGGTTAAAAATATTGCTTTCTTTCAAATCCCCCCTCAGTTTATACATGTGGATTTAATGTAGAATTTATTAATGTCATGCCCTTTCTGAGGATATGACTCATTAAGGGAGAAAGACTTGAAGGAGATTGTGTCGCCAAGGTAAGGCTATGAAGCTGTTTTATCTGTCAACACACTGAGGCTGGTTCACCTCCCTAGCACATCAGGGCTCTTACTGTTAGTGATTAATCAATAGATACCTCTCCGAGTTTGCTTCTTTTCTTCCCTTTTCTTTTTCAGAGGGGAAATTGATGACAGCTCAGAAAAGGACAGCCTTTGAAAGTGCTGTCAGAGTTTGTGTGTTTTTCAAGACCGATTATACCAGCCCTTTTTGATTTCCAAAACACTTATCTCCCTCCAAGAGTGCAAAAGCACCAACGGAAGTATAAAAAAAAAAAAAAAAAGTAATAATTGAAGATGAAAATCCTGGCCCATTGCCCGTAGGTTGGAGGCTGTAGAGGTGTAATTTGGTTGTGACTGCTTGGAGGAAATGTAAAATGAAATCTGTGGAAATTTATGGCAGTGGAGCACATGCATCGGAAAGGTCATCGCTTTGTCATTTAAAAAAAGATTTCAATAAATGGTTGGCTCTGTCTCCTGTGAAACACTGAAGCTGTGGCTGACTGAGTGGAGCCACAGTACTGGTGGAGCATAGTGGGAGAGAGTGATGGAGCATCTCTCCAACACCCTCACAGTGAGAGAAAACCCTAGTTAACTGTTAACACCCCTGGAGATAAGGCATCTCGCGCGAGAGCAGAATTACACTGTATCGCTGCTGCAGCTGGCAAGTATTGTTGACAGCATTGATCTGAGATCCCTCATTACAGTATAAGAGAAACCCCTTCAGCAACGTCACCCTGGAGAGGGATGGGGCTAGAAAAGAGAGATTGAGGAGAAGAAGAAGAAGAAGATGGAAAGAAATAAAAGAGGAAGTCGAAAAAAAAAAGGAGCTAAATTGGAAAAAATAGTTTGGAGGGAAACATGGGTAGGAAGAGTCGAGGGAAATAAAGAGAAGAAGAGAGAGAGCAAATCAGCGAGAACTGGAGGAAAAGAAACGAGAGGATAATTGTTAGTTTGTAGTTACAGCATGCAACGTTCACCTTGTGTTCCATGGTGGAAGGATTGATCACTATCCAATCGATCACAGCCTACGAGGAACACAGAGTTCCAAGGAGAAAAACTGTGTTGGCTTTGCAGTTTGCATGTAACAGACTAAATAATGCTCATGGAAACTGCCTCCAGCTGTGAAGTGAAGTAGTGCAGGGATACTTAAAATCCGATATTACTGCTGAGGCTCCGAGTAGCATTAAGTCACGGATGCATTACGGATCTATCTCTTGTCTCCTGACGCTATTTAAAGCGTAATATATCCCTGCAATTCAGGTTGTAACAGATGTGTCACACGGATAAGGCGTGAGTTGCTTCTAATCAGGAGGAAAAAAAAAAGGGATATCAGGACAGCTTCCCATCAAAGTTATTCTCACCAGACTCTGTTTTAGCATTCACAACAGCAACAGTAGCTTTCTTTTCCCTCTCACACCGCTTTTATGGAGTACCGGCTCTAAATCCACCTCTGTTCCCCATCCCTCCCTGTACGCTCAGCTGGGCTTCCATGTCGTCCAAATAGGGCAGGAATAATTGGATCAGCAAACATAGTCTCATGGTCTCCTGTTTGTTCCCACTGATATTTCTTCTTCTTTTTTTTTATTAGATGAGGTAGTATTTAATTACGTTATACCATTTAATGCAATTTACATTACAAACTGATGACATCAGTTTTAATGCAGCTGACATTATGTCTGAAATGCACTCTGAGCAGCACTGGAGAGCATCTGTGGCTCTAATGATGCTAATTATCAGATAAAATGTCGACTGGGTCTGCTCGGCTGACTGTCCCTGCCATGAAAGCTGCATCTTGTGTATTACATTAGACTATCACAGAGATCCCCTCCAAACTTCAGCATAGTGGTTTAAAACATTACTTCCTAGTTTTCTACTTCTCATGTTTCCAGAATTATTAGTGTGTCTCTTCTTAAGCAAGGCGAATCCTCTTCCTGTCTGCACATCTATTATCCCTCCTCTATAGACCCTGATGATAAAAAAGAATCACAGTAAAAACTGTGACATTTCAAATCCCTGCATTGAACTGGTTGTCAAGGAGATGTCTCAGTGAGATGTGCTGAGCAGAAGAGGAACTGCTCTTTTAAAAGAGTGTTTATCCAGCCGCTGGAGGTGTAGTGTGCCTGCCATTAGGACTCTGCAGGCAAACATGGAGGCTAAGAAACATGCAGCTCTTCATCATCAAGGCTGACTCTCAGGAACAGAGTGGAGGTCTCTAGACTTCTGAGAAGAATCCATTATAATCTATTACCATCACGGTTAGAGGAGAGGAACAGTCTAGTGGCCATCCAGTGACAACAAGCCTCCATATAAAAAATACCAATAATCTCTGTCCTGAACTGCTGGACATCCTGCCTCCACTTAGAGGCAACTGGTGATGAAACTGATGGAAAGTGCCAACACCTATTGTTGATAAGAGCTGCACAGTGCTGTGTTGTGTTGGGGATATGGTGAGACAGGCAGAGAGGTAGATAGACTGAAGCAGCTGTCAAAATGGTTGTTTGTAGCCCCGCGCGTACTGTGCATTGGGGAAATAATAAACTGCATCATTAGAACCCCTGTCATTCACACACTGTTTGTACCAGCCACTCATAGCTGCGGATACCCCCAACCACCGCTGCACATATAGAGCTCGGGTCAGAATCATTAGGTGGCTCATTTAAAAGAAAATGGATATTATGAGATGATCTGCAGGTGTTATTAAAAATAGGCCCACTGGAGCTATAAATTAGCATTAAATTCCATCTTACTTATATGTGTTGCTTTGGGAATGCAATTTTTGCTTGCATTTTAATCACCCCTGCTTCTGCTTTCTTACTCCCTGCAATCAGCAGCTTCTGCAGTTGCTGCATGTTTGTAAGGTATGAGGGTTTTTTGTTATCTAATTCCTCTTTAAGATACTCCCAGGCCTGTTGCTCCTTGGAAAGGCTTGTTTTTGATATTTCAAAATATGCAACCGAAAGGTTACAAAAGCTGCAGCACCAGCAGAAAATAATGGGGGAAAATACCAAACTCACACAATTGTAGCTATTTTAATGAGTCAGCATTCCAACACAGGACAACAGTGCAGCCATATGGCTTCACCTGAATGAGTCTAACCAACGATCCAGACGACCTCCTGACGAGAGAGAGCCTATGCCTGCGTGTGTTTGTGTCTGTGGCCGCTCCGTGCCACACCCCCTTCTCCTCGGTGCGGTGGTATGATCCAGGGATGCTGTTATAGCGGCACCGAGCCTCACCAGCAACAGCATCACCCGTCAGCCTCCTCGGGTTCAACTGCGGCTAAACGCACCGCGCCGGGCTCCCTGTCATACGGCACGGCGGAGCAGCAAGGAGATCCCTGTCCCCTCCGCGCAAAATCGTTTCTCCCTCCTCCTCCTCTATCGGCATTTGAGAGCGAGCATCATCAGCATCAGCACCGCCGCCTCGAAACCAGACCAGCAGGCACACAGAGAGGTGTCTCATCCACGTTTTTAACAGGAGCACCGCGTCTCAAGGCACATTTCTACCGCGGGGATTGCACCGTCTTCGGCATTTGCAGGCTTCTTAGAGCATGGAATCGGACTAAAGGAATGGCTTTACGTCGGAAAGGTAAGCGGGCACGTTCGGTTCCGGCCTTTACTGGGCTCAGTGGGTGAGATCGGCTACAGTGCTGCTTGGCTAAACGAGGCTCGGGGTGGCTGAGACAACACGAGTGCACAGGAAATGTTTAATGTCAGCTGTTCAGATATGCCGTGCGGTGCAGTGGGACGTGTGTGTGCGCGCGCGTGTGTTCATGTGTGTAACAGAAAGAGAGGGAGACATTGAGGTAGAGTGCGTGCGTGCGTGAGTGAGTGAGAGAGAGAGAGTGAGTGCGAGCTTGTGTGTGTATGCATGGTGCGGTTATGAAAATCAGTGCACCTCCTTTGAAGTATAGTGATGCAGACTTTGTGCACAAACCTGTCCGTTTGACACGCAGTCTGAATGATGACATTCCCGGCACACGGAGCTGCAGCTCGCCTGCTTCATGTGTGCATGTGTCGTGTTCGTTTTGCTTCAGCAAACGTTTGCAGCCTTGAGCTGTTTTGCTCCGGTCCTGGCTCGTCCACTCCATCTCCATCAGCATTGAGGTAGCCTAATGATGCCAGCAGGGCCACCGGAGATCCAGGGGCAGTAGATCTCTCTGACTCGCGCCTTCTGTCTTAATACATCCACGCAGACTTTACCGGGCCCGGGCCAGACACCACCTGCACCTCCACCAGTCCAGCAGCACCACCAGCACAGGTCCAACAGGCACGTCAGGACACATTTGAGCACTGTGACCTGCTTCACTCTGCTGGTTTTCACACCTCTCACATGAACTTCTACCCTCCTGCGTGTTGCTGCAGCCGGTGAAGCATTCCCGTGACTAACTACATTTAACTGCATGCAATTCATATTTTTCCACACTGGCTGTGTTTTTAAACGTGCAGTGCTAAATAATTAACATCAGCAAATGCATTTTGATAAATCATAATTATTGTGAAGGCAGTGAAAATTGCAGCAGTATGGATGTGCTCCGATGGATTTAAATTAGACCTCCTCACTCCTCTCCTTCACAGTAGATTATAAATAATTGCTTGGAGTAAGCCACTGGAGGCATATTTCCAATAGATTAATAATTAAGCAAGCAAAAGAAAAATAATAATAAATCCTAATATTAATAGTAATAAGATGTCTAAGTTATTATCATAGATATTTTCTATTAACAAGCAACTTTTAAAAAAGCATCCCACACTTTTCCTGCTTGGCATTTCGATCCGGCTGTCCTCGTCTAGGAAATGGAACAGAGCCTCATCTCTTTAATTTAAAAATGCAAATGCATTGTAATCAGAAACTCCAATTTATCAATATGTCTCATACATGGATCATCTAATGCACCACTCCTCCAGCCAGCCACTGTCTGGGAACTCTATTGATGTTTAGATTGTTTCACTCATCAGGCAAACCTGCTCTCCTCTGTGTTATTTCAGGATCCAAAACAAAACAAAACAAAAATTAGCTTTAATTTACAGCCTGTAGACTGGAACACAGAGTGCACGGTGTGTCACTGCCTTACCTGGAGCTGCTGAACACAATGACACAGCCACCGTACTTAATTCTTCTATTGCCCGCACCTTATTGAAAGTGATAATAAAACCGAGGCAGTCTGTCTTTGCTCTTTGTGATTAATAGGGAGCATCTGTGTATGGAGGTTAGATTATACACAAACACACACACACACACTCCTGCTGTGCCTTTTCCATGCACAAACAAACAAACATACACACACCATAGAGTCACAGGAAGAAGATGAGGATGATGTATAGGATCTGGGGAGGATGATGATTGTAATCCTACCTTCATTTCTCCCTCTCTGCTGTTCTTTAGTGTGGTGCTGATAGGACGTGTGTGTCACTGCCTGGGGCTGCACATGCTATTGTCTGGTGAACTGTGTGTGTGTGTGTGTGTGTGTGTGTGTGTGTGTGTGTGTGTGTGTGTGTGTGTGTGTGTGTCAGTGCTTGTTGTGTGTTGCTTGTTGTGGCTGGTATTTTCGGGCCCTTCAGGCTGCTGCTCTGGAGATACAGATGAACAGTGATTAGTGTGCAAACTCTAAATGCCACACCCATTATGGCGACACCTTTACAATTACAAGACTGGTCCTTGAGTTGAAATGTCACTCTAATACACGTGACGCACTGATAAGTCATTGGCATTTCTGTCAGTTAACAAACTCAGCATGACTAATCAATCAGTCTGATTTTCAGGGTTTCACTTCTCCAACTGTCCAACTAACTCTGGTCTGCTCTCAGCAGCAGTTGGTGGGCAGCATTTGCCGCTAAGCTAATTATCATCTTCAGCTGTTGCACAAACTCTTTTCACTGTTCTGACTTGTTGTTAATCTGGTGCACATGCAGTTTTGGAAACCAAAGGCAGCTCGGCCTCTTTGGCTTCTAGTCGCATCATTATTTCAGTGCAACTTCCTGACAATTCGGGCCCCAAGTGCAGACTGCTAGGATACTGCCGTTTTTCTGTCAGCACATCCCGTTGTCCAGAGTCAAGAAAACACTGACAAAAAAATCTTGGCTTGTGTCTAATAATTTGTGTTTTTCTGAGATTTGAGTGATATTGCATGGCCTTTGGATAGCGCAGCACTGAGCGAGACAGCGGGGGAGTTCTTTTTGTTATCCAGCCCTGCATTATTTATGAATTTTCATTCCAGGAATGCAGTAGCCCCTGGCACTGTAATGCTTCTCTCTCCCATGGAATCGCTCACACATTTCCCTCCTGCCCAACAAGTTTGCTGCAAAAACAAAATTTCCTTAATAAAATTGGGGTCATGAATTTGTGAGGGGACAATACAAAATGTACTGGAGGTTGTTGATAATATTGAGGACATAACTTAGTGCTGCAGTCAGAGTTTGGGCTCACAGGCGATATGAGGCCCAGTGGGAGTTTTTATCCCCCCCTCTCTCCCTTTGCATGTCCATCATATGGGAGGAGTGTAATTGCTGGAGAAGCATAAAATGTGTCAGAGCGTTCGCCACCCTGCTGATATTTTCAAAGTAAAAGAACCCGCGCCAGTCGGGTAATCAGGCTGCTCGACCATTAGACTGTCGCACATAAACACACACGCGCGGACACAGACTCGCACAGACACTCGGAGATGTAACAATTGTACAACTTCAAATATTTACCTTCTCGCTGCAATACTGCTCCATCCTCAAGAGGAATTGTTTAACAAATCCTGCAGTGCTAATTAGGGTTTCCTCTTTCATTCGTCTGTGCTCGGCCTCTGCAGCGAGGAAATTACCCGCACTGCCATCAAAAACAATGAAAAACAAAAGCAGTGTAATATCACCAAATTACCCCATAAAAATCTTATATGGCAGTGTAGGCCCAGTGTTTACAGTTGCACTGACAATTAATGCGGCCGGCACAGCAAAGCATTCTGGGCAGAGCTACACTTTTACTTATTAGATGTGATGAATATGGAAAGCTTTGGTTCAACATCTGTCCTCTCTCTTGACCAGCTGACTGACAGTTAATTATCACTATCCCGTTTTATGAAATGATAAAGCCTTTTACAGACAGAACAGCCTTTCATGATGTACGTGTGCAGTTGATATGAGAATTTATTCCCACTTTATTCCCACTTGTAGGATGTCAACCATTGACAAATGCTTGTTGATTAAAGCTCCTGTAGGGAACTCTTCAATTGTGCTGAATGTGGCATCGCCTGTGGGCAAAACATGAGTATTTATCTTACATTTATTAATTTATCTACAAGGATCTCATTCTGCTCTCTTATGTCTCATTCAACCAAAGCCTTAGTCATTAAAAAGGTTAAAAAATGTGTGTGAATTGATCACCTACCCCTGCCAGTTGTTTTCTGACATTTAAAATAACTTTATAGGGGCCGGGGTCTTGTTTGCTTTATCAGGTTATGAGGGTGCATCGACATTAAAAAGGTGTATTTTATAGCCAGCTTAAAACTCCTCACAGAAGCTTTAACCTCTTTAAACCCAGTATCGCCCTTTGATCCAACTAAATTCCCCAGCATCATGTACTTTAGTACAAATGTTCAAAGTAGGCTCTTTTTTTTCTCCTTATGCTAAAGTATTCCCATACAACACAGCTTATTTGAGCGTGGAAACCAAAAGCAAACCAACAGCAACACAGACAGTGACAGAAATAGTATCAAAACCCAAATCACCTTCAGTTACCAGTGTTGCTACCAAACACACAAACGAACATGAACACACAAACATGCAGTTTATGCCCGAGGCGTTCTGCTTTAAAGTATTTGGCAAAGTCTCAGCTGGCAGCTCCAGCCCTCTATTCTTGCTTGTCTTCTCCCATTGTGCTGTGGGCAAGAGTCAAGAACTATATACAGTTGAATAAGGCGCAGGGTGTTATGTGAGTTTGTATCGTGAAAAATGCAGCCACAGCCTCCCGTCTCCCTCCCTCCTCTACCTTCACCACCCCACATCCCCTCCCTTATCCCTCTCCTTCTCCTCCTTTCACCTCCCTCCCCCAATACCACTTCTTTCAAATTCTAGTCAGAGGACTGAAGGATCAGAGACACGAGAGGCTTACTGGTCAAGCCCACTCTACTTCTCTTTAAAATATGAGATTAATTTGTCAAGAGGAGTGTGTGTGTGAGTCTCTCTCTGTCCTTGTGTGTGTGTGTGTAATGGGAGTAGTGCTGATGGTACACACCTTGCTGGAGGGCTGCTGACACACTGGAGTGAAAGAAATAAAGCCGATTTTTTTTTTTTTTTTTTTGTATGGAAGTTTTTGAGGTCTCAATTTGTGATATTCTTTTATATTTTGCACTGAACAACTACTTTATGATTCAGTGGTGAACAGCTAATTACTTTCTACTTAACAGACTGATTCTTTGTTCTATAAATGTTACCAAATTGGGGAAAGAAAATCTATGACAGATTTAAAAGTAGACGGTGTTAGTTCAAAAGGCCTGTTTTGGTAATTGGTTGTCAAATGCCAAAGAAATGAGATAAAACATTTATTAGAGGATATAAAAAAAATGAGGCTGGAATTCATGCCAGTGTTGTTAACATTTTTAGGGAAATTAAATGACTTTGGCTTCAAGTGACCAATTAGTGGACACAACTCTGCACAAATACTTGAAGATGTCTCTTTAATTGTGTCATTTACCTGCTTTAACACACAGGTGCTTTTTATTCTGTTGGATTGTGGTTTTGCTCAGGAGCTCGTTCTATTTTTCCACTCCCTCTTCTGTAAGCTATAGACTCAAACCACAGAAGTGTGTGTGTGTGTGTGAGCGTGCATGTGTGTGTAGTATTATCCAAACACAGACACTCGTAGGACACTAACTCACTCGGACGCGTACACACACACACACACCCACAGGGACACATTTCTCACTGCAAATTTTTATTCATCAAGTCAGTGGACAACTTAAGAAGAAGAAAAATCAATTTTTGTTTGCCCCGCAATTTATCACCACATAAATTGTCCTTCCCTTCAGTGTGCACATGTTGGCGTTGGTGTCAAAATAATTAAGTTAAAATCCATTATATTTGCTTTGATTTTTATCTCCCTTTTGTTGACACAGAGGACAAAAGGAAGCCGGCCTGCTTTCACTGACAAGATACCGCCTGCAGCGTTTCACCTTCACTTTGATCAATGCAAAGAAAATTATCAGGGATGGATTCTGACAAAATTAGATCTGTTGAATATAAAGACAAGCCTTTCACAGTGACATGAAAAACAGCTAATAATCGCATCGAACTTTTTTCCTGTAGTAGCAGCAGCTCGGACAAAAAGGAAGTGAAGTGACCACACACCTGCTACACATTAGCATGCAATAAAAATTCAGCAACACGTTACACTCCCACATTTGCACCTTAGAGCCCTGATTAATAACTCACTGTGGTAAGTTGCATCTGCAGCTTTGTTGCATGCCCACAGAATGAAGTGATTTATTTAACGACATAAAACACGGTGATGGTATACTGTACATCTCGCCTCTAAACGAGTTCATCTGTTTCCTGCTGACTGGTAAATAGTCTCATGTGTATCATCAGTAATATTCATAGCTCTACTTTCTAGATGATCATGAATTATTAACTCATTGAAAAGATGAATAGCTCCAAAACGGTGCTTGATGCATCTCTGCAGGAAGCCATGTATAAAACACAAAACAGCACAGAACACTACAATCAAGTTCAGTGTGTGTGTGTGTGTGTGTGTGTGTGTGTGTTTTTTTCTCTACTGTGATGCAGGAGGGTTGTTTTGTTGTTGAGGTTTAATTTCAGAATGAGTCTTGATCCACCGTGAACTCTGGGATGTATTTCAAGTGTGTGTATCATCGTCCAAATTGACTTCTAACTGAAGAGACACATATTCTGTGCTGATCGTCAGCCAAAACGCCAAGCCAAACTGCACAAAGAAAAGTGATTTGAGAAAAAAAAAAAAGAAAAGAAAAGAAAAAAAAATTCCCATATCTATTCCAAGAAAATCATGGCAGCAACGTGCATCCTCTTTTACAAGTAAAGCAGACCTATTACATGTTGTCTACAGATGTAGCAATCCTGAAATCCCTCTTTCTACAGCATGTTCTCCCTGCATGTCATCCAAACTGGATGTGCTTACAAAGGAAATGTTTGGAAAATTCCTATTGTTTTCCTCTTCATGTGCTCAGATGACACAATGCTTCATCTGACAAGCAGCGAAATGAGTAATGCAAATTCTAAAGGAACATGCCCCATGCAGTTTGAATAACAAATATCAAGGGAGGAAAAGCTCCGTGTGAAATAAGATACAGGGTATAAGAAACAAAGTATGGTATAAGATACTGCACGGAAAAGTGCTTAAGCTGATTCTCTTCCACTTCGAAACGGCAAATACATTTTACAGTATGCGCTATTGATTTCAAGCTTAAATGATTTGTTTATCCAGAAAACTGCAGCTTCTCTTTTCTCTGATGTGCATCTCACACTTTCAGAAGGCTAAAGCTGCAGGGCTTTAAACATCATTAACAATTTTTAACAGCCACACGGCCTTGTGAATGTAAAAACTTGCAGTATGTCCCTGAGTGAATGCTTAACTTAACAGTATATACCATATACAGTACCTAACCCTGGAATGCGCTGGTGGTATGTGTTGCTATGCGCAGAACAGGCGAACAAAAGGGAAGTATTCGGCCCACACACATCCGCGTCTCAACAGCTTACAAAAGAGCAGCACCAGGACCACAGTTTGTTCCCGACTGAGTCTTGTGGCCTTTGTGGTGCTGCTCTGCTGTCACGAAGTATTTTCCTGCGTGAGAGCTGCTGAATACTGTCTGTGTCCTTAAGCTGCGAGAGACCAGAAGAAACAGAGAGGAGGTGGAGGCTGAGAGCAGATCTGAGGAGCAGGAGGTAGACACTGGGAGGACCTTCAAAGCGAACATTTCAGAATTAAACCTTCTGTTACAAACTCCTGTTATTTTTCCAGATGACAAGCGTCACGTTGTAACAATGTAGATACTGGAGGATTAGCCCACTTAGCATTCAGAAATCAATCTGCAATGCTGCTCAACAGCAACTAGTACATCTTTTCTGCTACTCCTCCGCCACTAATGCTGTTCGCTCATTTCTCCGTAATCAACAACTTCATGAAAGAGATGCACAGGAAATACTGTCTAAACAGCCAATCACCAAATCCAATTTCAGAAATCAATGCCATTGATTTATCAATTAATTCTGCATCTGTAATGCTGCCAATGTGCTTTTCTTGGGGTGTTGGAGGTTTTAGCGGTCAAATGCATTATTGAATGGGGCTTTTTACCAAGCAGTGGCTGATGCTGAGAGCTTAGGAGGTTGTCAGTCTTGATGTAAAGCTTTATTTGCAAAGTGAGTCAGTGAGAACAGCCTTTTAGTCCTGCTAGGAGGACAGTGACACAAATTTATCTTGTGATAGAGGAGGAATATCAAATGTGTTGAATAAGGCTTTGCCTTGTCAGGAATATTGATTAAGTGGTTTAAGGTGGTGTCTCTTGCTCCGTGTGTATTTGTGGTCAGTTGCACAGGTGCTACCTGCAAGCCAATGTGGTGTCATGCAAAGGGAATCGCGTGCACACACGTGCCACTGCGTGTTCTCCTTTTTTGTTCATTTGTTTGTTTTTGTTTTTCTCTTAGTCTGGTTCAGAATCAGCAAAGGGTTTCAGATCAGAGAGCGTGCGCAGAAATAGATATCCTGAAAAGAGAGTAGACTGGTGGAAGAAAAGAAGCAGCACCCAAGATCTGAGAGAGAGAAGAAAAGTTTTAACTGTAGGAAAGATAAAAACTGTCTTTGAAAAGTTAAAGCTTTGCTGCTCCCTCGCTCTAGGCCACGTTCAGAGGGCATGAATAGTGTAGGACCTTATGGATTTCTCCACACTGCTCATGCATGCGATGCCGATGTGGGATTTGACCCATGTCCACTATAAATAGTCAAATGGTCCAGGATGGTTTCTTGGCTCCTGACAGCTCCTGACAAGAACAGATCTGCTTTGTGAGTGGACACACACTCTCTCTCTTTCTCTCTCTCTCTCACACACACACATACACACGCAGACATTGTCCGGCTCTTCTTCTGACACAAGCCGGCACACGCTCACTCTCGCTGGGCTTTTGTATCACCTATATGGCTTGATTTGTGAATACACGTATTAACCCCGGGTGTGAGGAATAATGGCAGTCGGCAGTGTGATGGAGGCTGAATGGTAAACTGCAACATATAGAAAAAAACAAGCCAAGGGTACACAGTCTTTGGTGAAAAGGTCAGTAAAGACTGTTGATTCCGTGGTGCGTGGGCGTTCAAGTGTGTTGTTCGCTGCTAAGTGTGAAATGCTTTAAGTGTGTGTGGGCGCAGGGGCCACCGAGTCGGTCTGCTGTCGCTGTTTGTCAGTGAGGTTTTTTATCTTTGAATCTTCTCAGGGTAACAGAATGTATGGACAGGTCGAGGCGAGTGTGTGTGTGTTTGTGTGTATGTGTGTGTGCGTATACAAGGCTGTATGCGTTCTGCTGGTAAACCCGGCATTAGCAGCAAGAGATTTCAGGCTTGGTCAGCTATGAAAGCACAACTACGTGACGGGAGTGCTGCCGCCGCCCACAGATAGCTCGCCCTTATCCACTAATTAAAACCCTCTATCAGTCCATGTCTCGCTCGGCTATCTCTCTATCCTTCAGTTCCCCCCTTTTTCACACCGAAATCTCTCCATCTTCCATTATCTATCCATCTTTCTCTTTATCCTTTCTCTCCATTCATCACTCTCTCCCTCTCTCTTCTCTCACCAGAAGCTGAGGGCTCCCAGTAGGCGGTGTTGTGTTTTGTTGTGATTCGGGTGGTTTAGGTATAACAGGGTCCTGTGGGTCCTTCAGGGTTTTTCGTCTGAGGTGTCCCTGTCATATGCCTGAGGAGCTTTGGTGGTGCTAACGAATAGAACAGATAGATTTTTAAGCTCCATACCCCCATCTTGTTTCACACACACACAATCATATGCACACCCTGACTCCAGGCGAGGCGTCTCCGTCTGACAGCTCTCTGTTTACTCCCGTAGGACCTGTAGCCTGGATCTACATTTGCAGCAACAGACTCTGCCTGGATTCCTTCTGATGATTAAGCCATCATTACAGGAGACAAAATGAAAACCTGCTAACAACAACTGAATTGTCAAGACTTCACTTAGGCACATCTGCAGCCACATTTTTATGTATGCTTTTCTCAAGGTTTCTCATCGTCATTCTCGCCGCGGCCTGCGAGGCCTGTTTAGTGAGCGGGATTAGCTCGCCTCTCTGCAAACAAGTTTCTTGGAAATGTGCAAAGGCCAGAGCTAACAGAGATAGTAGCTCCCTACTCACTGGGGGTCTCCAGGCTGTTATGAAAATAAGACCTTCTCTGCATGCTGGAAATGTATGAGTAATCCTGGAACTATACTGTATCAATAAGCTGAGGAGCTAATATTGTTGGATGGCACTCTGCTCTCCCCATCTTCCTTGTTTATTTACCAATATAAAACTCAATTTCTGTGCCGTTGCCAGCCCCGGTCCCGCTCTGCCTTTTCTCTTTTTCTCCCATTTTGCATGCTCTCTCCTCCTGTTCGTCGCGATTTCAGCACATTCACTTGAGATCGGAGAGAGTAAATCGGTTTTGACTTGCCCTCATGGTCCTTGCCTTTACGCATGACGATCTCCACTGTGCCGTTTGTGGTATTGTTGTTGTTGTCGGACATCTTAGGGAACCCCGCCCCACTGGAGATGACTTGGAGCATAAATCCTGTTTAAAAAGAACTGTGGATGTGAGCCTCTACCACTCCTCTAAGCAGATTTGCAAAAAAAAAAAAAGAAAAACACACTGGGCCGTGGTTGCACTGTTTGAGCAAATGGAGGGATAGGAGGGGATCAAGTGGGTGAAGAGTCCCATTAGATATTGTTGCGGCTGTGTAGCAGTGGATTATCATTCCCATGTGTTTGTGTGAAAGCAAAAGTGATAAGAGACAGAGAGAAACGGGTTAGTGGGGGGGTTGGGGGTGTTGGTGTAATGCGATGCATGTGTTTCACTCAGTGTTGTCACTTTGTATTAATTTTAAACCGAGCGGTGAAGAGTTCATTACACACTGATGAATTATAGATTAGAATTAAATTAGAAATAAAATCAAAGAATAACATATACACGCACTGTCTGTGTTAGCTCACTCTTAATCCTTTGTCGAGCAAACAAGGTAACATTTTTAACCATTTCTTTCCCACTGCACCTCCTGAAAAACAGCGTATCACTGAGGGAGCTTTAGGTTGTGTAGACATACCATACACTGAGCTGAAATTAATACAGTACAAGAGTTAAATCATTAAAATCAATGAATATTACATACTTGGGTATGTTGGGTACAACATGGAGATGATTAAGATCAGTTGTAAGTCTCTCGCAGTACAGTGATGCAATAAGTTAAGCACTTAGTGAACTTGGCTATGGGATTCCTCGGTGCACCACGCGCCACACTCACACTCGCATAAAAAAAAGATGAGAGAGATGGTGAGTATCTCGTACTGGAGGTTTGAATATTCTGATATAAAAAATTTACTCCAGCATTGTGCTAATTATTCAAACATTCTCAGACCCTGGAGTCACTCTCGTTTTTTTTATAACCTGTAGAGAGCTGTAGGCGCCTGCTGCACCCCAAGTTGACTATTCCTCAACTACAAATCTGGGCAAGTGCTGCGCTCAGGTGGCACATGCTGACTTGTCCTACAGAACGCCCATGTGTTTTGTTTGAAGTGAGCTTGGCTCTAGGAAACAACCTCCAGGTTTTGACATCAAAACCAAGAATCAAACCCCCTAATGGGCACCCCACTGTGGGCTAGAATTAGCGAGAATAACCCCCGCCAGCAGGCTTACTTCTCTAAATGCAGCGGCCTCGGAGGACGAGATGGAGGGCGCAAAGCTTGTAAGGTACGAGGGGGGAGAGCAAGGATGAGAGAGATGGAGGCAGGAGGGCAGAGGTGGACTGGTGCAAGAAAGAGGGATGTTGAAAGAGGGATGAAAGAGGGGCAGGGATTAACAAGCAGAGAGGTGTGTTTCAACCAGGCTTTATTTCATATTTTACACATGGATTTACAAGCAGGACTACACGTAAGAAGTAAAATGATCACTCGCTGTCTTGCTCCGTGAAAACACACAGCAGGGAAACAAGATGGTACTTCTGCTCGCAGGATTGCATGCTTTCATTCTCGCGTGTAAACGTGTGACAGACATAAAACGGGACAGAGAGCCTCTGTGGAGACAGACAGCAGTCAGTGCCTGCAGCACGCTCAGAGCTCACAGGGTAATGTATACTCGCTCCTCGCCGCACCAGAGAGAAGGTGACACCAGTCAATCCCACCCTGACAGGGCAGCAGAGATAATAGTGGGCTTTGATTCCCGGCAATAACTCCTGCCAATCAAATTGAGAAGCATCGTGATTGTAGGGAACCACGAGCGTGTGCATATGTGACATAGCGTACAGTATGCTACAGTAATACCTGGATAATTGGATGCAGAATATATGATGTTACAGAAAGAGGAGAAATGGATGGAAGAAAAAAGACAAGTGATCTTTAACAGATCTTCTGAGGTGTGGTAATGTCTGCAGGAGGTCAGGGTGTGTGTGGGATGGATGTGGCCCAGTTTGTGACTGTTTGCTGTCAGGGGTCAGTGGGTGGTCTTTGTGTGGGCGTGTGTGTGCATGCTTGTGGGGAATGAGGAGGGTGAGTGTGAGGCCAGGGTTTGGAGTCTTTCAGGTGGAATAAAAGCATTACTGCAGTAGTAGAAAGGTCAGCTGTAAACTTGTATCAGACTAGTGGTGATCACCCTGTGCTGCAGATCTCTGAGGTATTGAGCAGGCACGCTCTAATGGCTTTGATATATGGACTACAGGACTCCCTGAAGAGGTCAATACCATAGCACTTTGTCTCTATGAGCAATGACCCTCTCAAGCTCCATTTAGAAGCTTTATATCTGCAGGAAATAGGCTGGAAAGGCCTCAGGCAGGGCACGGTGAAAGAGAACTAATATGAATGAAGTATTTTCTAATCACTTCTTCAATGCTCTAATCGTTGTCCCAATCAATCATTGGTTATGGCCGTCTAAGCATATTGTGCTGGACGTTATCAGAAAGGGATTTTGATGTGGTTGAGAGAAGAAGAAGGGAATCTGAGCTGAATAGAGCTGAAAGAGCTGATTTATCATTTCTTTGTTTGGGAGGGCACTGACACTGTAAAGACTGGTTTCTAATGGTGTTTCATCATTGCTTAAGAATCTGGTGAGTCACCCTGTTTAATGAGAGTGACAGACGGGGCGGCCTAAGCTACAAATTTGATGATTTATCTGGGACTTGTCAGTGTGGTTTTTTTTTTTTCTGTAAAAGAGAGATAAAGCCAAAATACAGTAGCTAACGAAAACAAAAACCACAACTGACAGGACAGAGAGCTGTGTGTGTTTTTAGCCAATTTCTCTTCAAACACATCCGGACATAATGGCCGCCATCACAGTCCCTTCTGAGTGTATTGATTTGGAACTAACCTTTGGTGTGAAATATGAAAGGAGCCAAATACTGTTTATGAATGTCTGCTGTAATTGGAATGAGCAGATGTTGCCATATTGTTCCTCTGTGTTCAATAACACACTTCTTGTGCTATTTTTCTCCTCCACTCTGTCTTTTCAACCCCCTGTTTCCTTTCATTTTCCTCCGCTGGCCCATCCGTCTCCCTCCTCACCCCCTCCTTCTCCCTCCTCCTCCTCCTCCTCTCCATCTTTTCTCACCTGCAGACTCTGTGCTCTGTGCTGTGGCTGTGCTGAGTGACTAAGTGGAGCCCTGGAAGCCATGGAGGAGATGGACAGTAAACCCTACCAGCCGTTGTCTAAGGGGCGCCATGAAATGGAGATGTCCTACACCAGCTCATCCGATGAGAGCGAGGATGGCCGCGCCCACCACCGCTCCTACACCTCCCGTGAAACCCTCCCCGACTACACGCACGAGCTGCGCCTCACCCTCGGATCACACAGGGAGAGACAGAGCAACTACAGCCAGCCTCAGCCAGGTAGCACGCTCAGGGCATGCAAAGACTGAAGTTATTTACCTGGAAATACGCATGCAGTGATGCAGAGCTGCTATATGGGCACACCAGCGGATACTGGCACACAAAAAACACACACATGCACACAAACACTCACACACGCTGAAGCCTTTAAAAGGGCCTATGTGAATTACCTATTACAGTCCACAATGAGCCAGAAGGACAGTCAGAGGCAGCCAATTACCTCCTCTCCACAGAGGTGATATTTCTCTCCCACAGCTAAACTAGGTCAACCCCAAACCTCTCTGGCCTCACCTGGGGTGGAAAACCACCCTTCATTACACACACACTCTCACATACAGACATAAGCAGACATAGGCACACACACAGACGCACGTTGACACATACACACCGAAAAATTCTTCCCTGCTGGTGACAGGAGGAGAAATGGGCCAGTGCGTGCTGTGATGGATGGCCTTTATGCAGGTCATGTGTGGTGTTAAGGGAGAAGCCGCACCTCATCACGAGCGCGCCGCTGTGCAAGGTTCACGGTGATCAATAGACACTCTTTCCACTAACCCAACCTCCTGCTACTCTGCAAGACCGACCCACCATGCTAACAAGCAACATTAGCCATTCACAAGGGTTGCAGGTCTTGACAAGCAGGCCACTCTGGGGATTTCATGGTTTGAATGCCAGCTTCAATGGATTTAGTCATGATGCTTGCTACAGGTAGATCACCATGAGCAACACAGTCGTGAGCGTCGTGGAGTCAAAAAGTGCTCGCCTTTTTTATGCTGGTTCCACGACAAACAACATTGACTGCCATCAGTGTCATATGGTGAGGTGCAAAAGACCCCCCAAAGCAGCCTTTGAAATGTCAATGGCAGCCGGTTCTGAGAGGCACATCTGTTCATCTTTGGGCTACAGAGTTATATATAGTATACCCTACCTAAGTAACCAACTGTTAAGGGGGGACGTAGCCTCCAGTGACATTTTTAATGGATTACGGTCTTCTTGACAAAGATCAGCCAATTTGTTTCTCCTCTAATTCCCCTCCCACATTCTTCTTCAGATTTTTCAGCATCTTTTCTTCTCTTTTTCTTGTCCTACTACTTCTTTCTAAAGGACATCTCCTCAAACAAATCCAACACCACCTCTTTCTACTCAGTATTGCCCTGTCTCCTCAAACGGCTGTTTTATTAGACAAATATTATTTCTGGATTAAAAAAAAAAGAGCAGATGGATGTATGGTCATTTTTTTTTTAGCATATTAGACGGCTGACTTCAGTAATTACTTTTTTGTTTCCTCAAAGATTAACTCGAATTAATTAAATTGAAGCCCTTCAACGTTTTGTTTGGAAAACCAGAAATAAGTAGAAGCGTCACAAGAGTGTGATCATTTGAGTCTGTAAAGACCTTTTACCACCTAATTGATAAATTAAATCTCACCTTTTATAATTACACTAACCAAAACATGACGATCAAAAGACTGTTTGTAGATTTGGTTTGGGTACATTAAGGTAAAAAAGAAGCAACTGTTTTTATCAGGATTTTATCTGCCTTTGTTAACAAAATTAAAAAAAAAAGCAAAAAAAAAACAAAAAAATAAACCACACACATTATGATAACACTGATTTAATTCAAGGCCTCATTATAACTGTTGTCCACAAAACTCCACCCCTGAACACACAAACACGCAAAAAAAAAAGAAAGAAATTTTTCACTCAGGAGACATCCAGATGACTTTTTCCCTCTCAACATTTATTAACAAGGAGCCGTCCTTCACTGTGCAGTTAGTGCTTCACTGCAGTCACTTTTTAAGTGAATATTTCTTTGATATTGAATTTTTTAAACCCAAGAAACCACAGAGGGGAAGCTGAAGAATTTTTAAGGACTCTTGCTCTCGTTGTACAAGGCCAAAGTGGGTTAGGCTGGTCACAAAGGGATGCCACCGTAATGTCTCCTGAGAAGCAGAACTCAGAGCAACAGAGCTCCTCAGATATTTGGATACTGGTGAAAGCTCAATGCTGTAATTCCATTTAGATTTGTCTAGTGGGATATTTAACAGATGAGGATTTTTTTTTATTTTTTCATGCTGTACAGACAAGTGAGAAAGATACAACTAAAGACAGAATAGCCAGGTGTTCAGATATAGAAATTAGAGTTCAAACCAAAGATTAAAATAGAAAAATCATGCAGTATGTCAAGACAAGGATTCTGCTCATAATAAGAATTAATTTATGTGGGTTACACTTAGATTAGAATCAATATGATGATGCATTGCTTTATTGAACACGTATAACCTGTATGTTTGCTTTTTGAATGAATGAACCCAGTGCAGTTTCATGGCTTGAGCTGTTTCATGGGGCTGTAACAAAATCAAATTTTTACCACACAATCATCGTGGTCCAGTAATGATATTATCACAGTATTCAACATAAACATAGAAAACATAGTTATGCTCTCAGTCATGTCAAGACAAGGCCGAAGCAACAGGTGACTTCAGAAATTTTAGAGGAGTACAGTCCATTTAATAACATGTCATCATGTTTCTTATGATTTTCAAAGTTATGTTTTCGACACACCCCCAGCTCCAGAAACTTCCAATTTAATGACAGTTGCCAAAAAACATCATATATTTTAGTTAAAAAAAAAAAAAAAAAGAACTCCCAAAGTTGTGAGATAACGTTTTTTTTTTTTTTTTTAATTAGCTTTTATCTGTCATCTCCTTCCACATTTGCCACAAGTACCTTTGCTTGTTTGTTTTTAATCTTTTTTCTCTCATTTCCTCTTTTGTTTGATTTTAATGTACATCTGATAAGGTACAAACAATTTAACTCTCAGCCTGCAAAGACCTCCTCTTAAACAGCATTACTTTTAGCGATTTACTCTTTTTCCACCTCTTTTAAAACCCTCTAGGACGCCTTCTTTTAAAAGTAGCTTCATTATTGAGTAACTGCATCAGAAAAGTAATTCAGTGTCTTGAAAATGTAAATGCTTCACTTTGTACGTCAGTAGCCTACGCACCTCTTACATAATGTACCTTTCACCTGGTCTGGTGTTTTGTAAATTTATTCAGTGAAAGCAGCAGATTCACAAGTTAATATAGAAAGTTTGTCTTTAACAGCATGTGGAGTGCTTGTAGAGTGCAGTGCTTCAGTGTAAGACTAAAGTCTTACTCAGATTCAGTATACAATTCACATAATTATAACTGCAAACACTACTAACACACACACTTTTCACACAAGGCTGATATTTACATCAATGTAACAAACCCTGCAACTAAGACACACTGCTCAGCACACCCACACTTTGCGCGCACACACACACAAACCCAACATACGCACGCTAGTAAGTCCCCGTACTTTTCCCCTCAAGCACAGCAGGTGTATCACAATTCAGTCACACAGCAAACATGGACTTGAAATCAGAACATTTTTCTCTGACATTAGAGGTCTGGGCTTTTCTTCATTGCCATTCTGGTACCCAAGAGTCGATGCCCTGTTTCGAATCCAGGATCTCAAGAACGGCAATGGTTCCAAAATATCCACAGGATATCCATTTAGGTACACAAAGAGAAGTGATGGTAGGCTCTCCTCCTGAAACCTGTTTGCTGTCCTGTGTCTGCAGATTTTTGCACAGGCTCCATGCATCAGGACCAGAAACTTCGCTATTAGTCCATCCTTCCTTGAGGTCTATATCAGTCTCAGTACCAAAAAGAAGCAAGCTCTGTGTTTCCAATGAACCAACCAAACTTCCAAACTTGTGTTTATTTCAATGACCCACCTGCATTTCTGTCCAAACAAGTCAGCAGGCTGCTAACGATGAGGACCCGCCGTCTTCCTGAGCGGAGTGCTCATTCAGAACCTGAGGAGATGATGGATAAGCTACTGTAATATCTTCTGTCTGTGTTATTATCTGGAGCTCCACTGTTGTTGTTCGGGTTTGGTTTTAAAGAGGAGGATCCAACCCAGTGATAAACTCAGCTTTCCCTTCAACATTTTCCCAATAGAAACTGAGTCCACAGAGAGTAAACAACAGTAAAATACTGCTTACAGGCTTAATCTGGTGTAGTTGGCGGCTTTTTCACCTGGTGGCTATAAGATTTTTAAATATATAGTGAGTTATGGCTACACTACTTAATACTGCAAACAGTGGTGAACTTCTGGTCCCACACACAGCTCTGCTGTTTGGTCTCTTGCCTCCGGTCCAGCAACCAGCTCCTACTTCTTGTACTGAGAAGAAGGAACGAATGTGCACCAACTTTAGAAAGACAGTAAATAGAGGCCCGGGCCAGAAGTGTGTGATCACTGATCGATTTAGACATGTAGAAAACTACATTTTACTTTGTCCTTTACATTATAACTGCAGCTTATTTGTGTTGCCCAGTTTGTAAAAATATTGAACACAAATCTAAAAAAATTTAATCTGACTTTAAAAAAGTATATTATTCAACAATAGAACACTGTTTTCCTTGTTGAGAGGGGTTGCGTGGTGTCCTATCGTGTGTTGACATGCCATCGTGTTCAGTTGCCAGGAAAAAGACGTCTACCAATAATGTGTTTTGCCCTCAGAGATTGCACAGTGTATTTAACAATGTAGTGCAGGGTGCTGGATGTGAGAGAGAGCCATTCGAGAAACGAGGAAAAACTCAAACCTAAATCAGACTACGACGAACCCAGGAGAGTAAGAGAGATGCTAACATTACTAGACTGTTGAATACCTTACTGTTGGTAAGCTAACATTAGCGTTAGCTTCTAAAGGATGTTTGGTTTATAAATATTTGA